TCTGTTAAAGTAAAAGAATTAGAAGGCTTAACAATTACGTTAGCCTGTCCCACTATTTATAATAAGAGTTAGGAAAACCTTAGGAGACCCTAGGTATTACATAAAAGACCTAAATACCCTTTAACAATCACATTTTGATAAATGTTAATTGGTAATTCTAATGATTGTGATAAATGTTAACTTAATCCTTTTGCAAGCCATTTACACGTGATTGCTAGGAAATCATTAATTGAACGCAATTCTTATTCTATAAGGTAAAACCTAGCCCTACCTAAAGTCTACTTTTTTGAAACCAATTTTAATCCAATTTCTATCAATACATGGTTCCTCACTTTGCACACAACTCTATATAGGCCAAGTCATACATATATATATACATGACATGATGGAGAACTTCCGCACACAAATTCACATATACATACGAGAGAGAAAGAGAGTAATGTCGGAAATCAAAAATTTGCATGCATTAAATAATATTGTTGAGCATTACACATTCACCAAAGCAGAGACAAGGATTTGGTACGTGAATTCAGAAATATGAATTTGATCTAACGGGATAAGATATTTTTTGCAAGTGATTTGTTTCTGTATACTTTTATATTCAATAATTTATTCATGAATTGCTAGTGGACATTCGGGTTCGATCTAACGAAATGTGAACCCTATTGGGTTCTTTACAAAGAAATGTGAAATCCTTCAGGAATTCAAAATACTACCAATGGGTGTCTTGCCTGGTCATCTATATACTCCATAAGAAATGTGGTATGAATTGTTTATTTTATTGTTACATAAATTGTCCATGGAAACTGCATGTAACAACCATAGGATGTAGCATTTTTGAATAGTTCAACTCGATTCAACTCAAGAATGCTTCATTACAAACTGTCTTGGGATCAAATGCACCAATCCTCATATTCCACTCCACTTGTTTTAATAATAGTTTGTCACTTTTCCCAAAGGCTGTATCTTAAGCCTTCACTGACTATTTCTAAACTATCTCAATCTCTTCTGATATTTTGTCTTCAATAGGTTCTACTTCAATCAATTCACTGCCATTTTCATTTCTTACTTAAGACTCTTCATTGTTTTGCCCCTCTCAGGTGACATTCTGATCTTGGGTTACACTCAAAAGTCAAAAGTACAAAAATGCTGTTTCTTAGTAGCCCAATATTTGGCCTCATACGATACCGTTGGTCCCAGTGCAGTTCCCTAGAGTTTTCCCTTTTCGATAGAATACTGAAAGGTTCTGGTTAGTTACAATACTTTACTTATTTATAAAATACAAAAAGTGCACTTGTCAAAAGGACAATATATTTTTTTAATTACAAACATGTAAAAGAAAAAATGAAAGCACAATACATCTTTCCACCCAAGTACGATTAAGAAAAAAGAAACCCCTCGAACTACTTCTTAGTAAAAACTCAGAAGGATGCTAAAAAACTTGCCTTATCCCATAAATCAAGAAATTGCATTTTCCTTCAAAAGTTCTGCAATTCTGGGTTGCACTCCCGTACTTTCGGATTTTTTTGGCTATTGTCTTGAATTTTAAGGTTTATTGCTGGATCAATTTCGTTTGGCAGGGTGCAGTGTTTAACTGGGGATGAGTTGAGTTGGCTTTATGCTGGTTGGGTTGAAATGTTTGTGCTACGGGTTTCTCTGGGATTATGTGCTGACTCAACTGGGCCTGTAACAAGTCTGACAGGGTAGGACATTCAGTTGGGTAGCTTTAAGAGTGGCCAGTTGGAACTCAAAAGGCTGCTAGAATTCTTGTCTTGTAAAGAGTAGCTGTAATGCTTTTTTTTTTTTTTTTACAAACACTATGACTTCTTTTATGAATAATCTGGCTGACGAACAAGAACAAGACCATTTCCTTTTTCCAAACATTAACTATTAACGAAGAAAGAAATACAATCGTATACACCAAACCAAATTTATTCCTTAATTCTACTTCCTAAAACAAAGGAGTAAACTTGGCATGTTTCGCACTTTCATCAGATGCTCCATTATGAGCCTCCTAACAACTATATGATGGAGCTCGCATGTTATGTAGATCCTAGACCTCCGTAGATACATAGTGAATAAGCTACCATGGCTCACTATCTGAAGAAGGAGATGCAGATACCTTGTCTAAGATAGCTACCTCTCCAAAGATTTCCTAGAGGATTTTAAACAAGTTAGGAGAAGTATTATTGGGGTTGATTTTTATTTACTATGTTGCTACGGTTCATGTAATAGCACTGAATGTAAGGGTTGCAAGTCGTATGTCCTAAATCAAATAGAGTAATTACTGAAAAAATATTCAGGAGCTAAATATGGATAAGTTGGCAGTGCAAGAAAAATAACACAGAGCATTGATCATAACTGGAAAAAAAGAAAAAAACAAATAGAACAAGAAAATATGAGATTTGAAACTTACTTGGACCAAGAAGCAGAAAAAAATACCAATACAAGTGCAGTAAAGGCCGCCCAAATCAGCAAGGAAGCTAACTGAATTGTTGGCAAGAAAAATGTAATGTCAAATTACTGACTACAGAAAATATAACTCAAATGTTATGTAATTGAGAGTCAACACCAGAATGACAAACTTATAAAGTCTTCAGCAAAATAGTTTATCAAGTTTAATACTCCAAGTGAAGCCTGATTCTCATGATAAAGAAAGCGAACAAAGACTTAAAAACAAAAGAAACCATAATTAAATTACATTCAGAATATCCATAGAGCAGAATCAGAATGGCCTTTCCTTGAGGCTGATGAGGGAGGCAAACATTAATCCCTGTTTAGCTGATAAGACAATGCTGCGGCTTTCAGAATGAGGAAGATAGAAAGAAGATTAATGCATGGACAGATGCTTTTATGCCCGAGAGGTTTGAAAGATGGCTATATTCCAGCAGTTACGGAGTTCCTGTGTCGAAACAAAATAATCAGGCAGCTTGGTCTTTCCCCTTAGACAAAAATCCATTCCAGCATCCAGGAAAGTTGTAAAAGTTGCAGCTACCAAAGACAGAGTTGAGGAAAACAACGGATGGGAGAGTCCTATTGTAGGTGGTAACATGAGATTAGAGAAGAAAAGGGTGGCAGCATTGGATAATATGAAGCTGGAAGGTCAGAATTTCATAACATACAGCTCACAGGAAGCACATATTTTTCAGAATCAGTTCTCAGAGCTGGTGTTAATTAATGAACGGGGAGCATGAGGAATCGAGAGTTTGGAGCAGCAAATTAGTAATAGTAAGGCAATGGAGTTGGAGCGCTAGAGTACTAGTGATGCAGAAGCATACAAATTGATAACCAACAAAGAGGATCAAAGGGATGAATTGAGAGAGAAATAGTTTTATTCATATAATTCAGGTGCAACTATTACATTGAATAAGCCCCTCTATTTATAGAGCAAGTAAACTAAAAGAAGTTAAAAGGAAATAAACTTCTAATAATATCAAAATATCAAAACTAATATTATCTAATCTAATTAAATATGTTTAGAATAAAACTTTTATTATCAAACCCTAATAAAAATCTATCTCTACCTTTATTCCAGCCATTTTCCTAATTTTAACCATTGTAAGAATAAGGAAAAAAAAAAAACAATCAGACTAGATTAAAAAATGATCTTATATTTGACAAAAACCAAAGTTTCAGTGGTGGCTTTCATGAGTCTATGGTCACAATGGTTGTAGAGTGCTGTGTCTATTTTGGACTGAATTGACAGGTATAACATCAGTACGTGGTAAGTTTTGGTGTTTGGCGGAGATTTCAAATGTAGCAATGGCATGTCAGCTGCATTTTAAAAATACCCCGGGCAGAAGTTTGATATATTTATCACAGAAATAGAATTGATAGACTTGCCAACGAAGAATGAAAACTTCACTCTATTAAACTTTGGGGAAAATGTTGTTCCTTCTCGACTGGATAGGTTTCCATTCACTATAGTTAAGAGTGACATTTTTCAGGATGTTTCCCAAGAGGTTTTGTGGATAGTTCCGGATCATTGTCTGGTGGAAACTGGTTATTCAACTTTTAAGTCAGGGTCAACTCCATTTTGATGAGAAAACAAGCGGTTTGATCATAAGCCATGCAATTTCATAGTGGTGGTCAAAGGGCATTCTTCATGTTTGGCAGGGGTACAAATTTATGTAGCTGCTTAAAAATTGCAGAGAATAAATTAAAGAGAAAGTCAATGTTTCTGAGAAGGAATCAGTTGGTCGAAGCTGAAACACAGTTGATTTTAGTAAGGGTTGTAAAGAAGAACTATGCTTTTTTTAAAATGAAGATTTGAAGATCTTTTAGTAAGAGAGGAAATATCAACAAAACACAAAAGTCAAGCAACCAAAAAAGGTGATACCAATTCTAGATTATTTCATTTTGAGGTAGCCATAGAAGGGTTATAAATTGCATTATTAACCTGCAAAAGCAGGATGAAAGTTTGTAATGTGGGGAGTTGACTGAAAAGGAGTAGGACTCGATCAGAAGATTTTAATCAGCTCAAGGTGATGCATCTTGTGGAGTAAATGATATTATACTCGCAAATAACATCTTTCATATGAGTGATGCTGAAAATAAATACTATAATCAATTTATAAGCTTTTCATTAGTTATCTGGGTTAATAGTTAATTAGACTTGAGACACTTTGGCCGGAGTGAGTGTTTGAAGAGGGCAAGGTGGCTTCCTTAGTGGCCAAGTTGAATTGTGGAGTGGGGTCCATTAAAGTTCCTTGAATTCCATTGAGAGGTGACCTTATTAAAATAGAACTTTGGGACCTTGTCTTCCTAAGCCCTTGTTTGGCCCCAATTTTTTAAAACTCATTTTTCTTCAAACTCATTTTCAATTGCAAATTTTATGGGATCCACAACATTTATCAACTTTTCAATCTCGGATTTAATCAACTTTTATAAAATCTAACAAAATATGAAATTTAGCCAAACCAAACAGGGGCTAAATGTCGTGTGAAGAGGTTGGAAGGGTGGGAGACTCGCATTGGCAAAGTTGAAGACTCGAGCATTAATTTTTGTCTCTTTTTGAGAGCAAGAAAGGGTGGTTATGTTTCTACTTAATTGTTTATATACATTTTATGGAAAGCAAGGAAGATATGACAAAAGGGCACTTCATTGCTTGAAATTGTCAAAATCGACAAATAAAGACGGTTTAGATATGGGGAACTTAAAACAAAAAAGATATGGCAAATATTATGAAATTGCCAAGTGGATGTAGATTCCCTTTGGTACAACAATCCCATTGCTGTAAGGTGCTTAAGAAGTAAGCATAAGTTGCATGACAATGGACCAGAAGCAAAAGAAGCAGATAGATTTTCAACTAGGAATCCTTGGAAAAATATTTGACATTTTACCAAGTATTTCTTTAATGTATGAGATGAAACGGTAGTGGGGAGAAGATCAAATTTTAGAAAGAGGTGTGGAATTAGAGGGAGGAGACTTTGCTCTTCTCTTTCCGTTGCTATTTCGTGTGAATTCCATTGCAAGAGTTTTTATCTCTCTTTTTTCTTTAGAAGGATGGGAAAAGGATATGGAACTAGGGTCAAGCATGACAATTCTAATTAGTTGAAAAAAGGAGAGCAAAACCAAACCATACAACCGAAGTGTCGGCTTTTATCCCTTTCAGTGGCTCGGGAGAAAAACAGAATGTTTTCACCAGGAGAGTGGTTAACAATGTCTAAGTATGTTTATTTCTTTACTTTTACATCTCTTGTCATGTTCTTCCACCACAGTGCTAAAAAAATAAGAGAATGCAATGTTCTTCTACAAACTGGTGTTATGTTGAACAAGTGGACCTCTAAAGCTTCTAGAGCAAATCCATGTAGGTCAGCAAGATCAAAGGGCTTTATATTCCAATTTCGATTCAAACATTTACAAAGGTAATTGGTTTCAAGGGGCTAAGGATCAGAAAAAGTTTAAGCTCAAGTAATGTAAACAGTGGCATGCACAATAAAACACAATTATTGTTGATGTAGTGCGGAGAAAGTTGGAACTTTGTGAAGTCTTCTGGATCAGGAAGTACTTGTTTGAAACATGAATAACAGAAAGAAGAGAGGGAACAAACACTAGCGGTGCCATCTAGATTTTAAAATCAAGAACCTTGACTTGTACCACTTCATTGAATAAAGGTTAAATTTGTAGCACCCCGAAAATTTTAGAATAAAATTATTTATTTTATAAATTTTATTTTATGATTTTTGAAAGTTGAGGGACTAAAATAAAGTAAATTTAAAATTACTATGTTTTAAATGGACCTACGGGTCTTGATGAAATGAAATAGAAAGTGAGATCTCCTTCG